AAGGCATTGACAGGAAAGATCTCCTGAAAGGAGATGGTTTTCCAGTAGCACAGCTGAAATCTGAGTGGGACCACCAATCTCCTGGTCCAATAACTTCAGGCCAGCTTGCGTCAGTAAAGCAGAAAATCGACTGCAGTGGTGGCTTTGATGAAAAGGCTGAGAACCTCACACGGCCACACTGTGGTTGAGGGCAGGGGTTCTGCAGTGCTCAGGAAAAGGAGAAAGCCAACACATCTTGGTGAGAAGCAGTCTAGATCACTGTCTACCGGATCTTTCAGTTTTATTTCCCAGTGAGGGCTGATCCACCCACCTTAGAGTCACTAAATGACCTTTGCCATGTCAGTATGCATTTTATAGGTACAGTCCACAGCCCAAATCCCATAACCCTGGGCTTCCATCAGCGGGACGACCTGACTGATGGGTTCAATCAGACACTGCGTAGTCATGGAAACTTAGACTGGAAGGAAAAGGTGTCAACTTCAAACCCGTATGGCCTCATCTCTAGTCCCACTAGCGCTGCCCTCCTCCCTGGGCAGCACACAGATTGAGGTGCAGAGGCAGAAGGCTCTGGTGGTAGCGGTGAGCTCCTCCAAACACCTTCCCCCTGCCACTCCCACGCCTGCCTCCGCCAGATCTCTGGCTCGAGGCTGCTCATTCCAGGGAAGTCAGAGAGGCGAGAATGTCTCTTCCTGGAGGAAGCAGCACCGTAGTTAGCACAAAAAAAAAATGGTACTTCTGGGACTGAGGTGGGAGAGGAATTTCTGCCCAAAAAAAGGCCAAGAGAAGCAGTACCGAGAAACGTTGAAAGCCCAGACAATCCTGTGATTTTAAACAGGAACAGTCCTCGGTTTGGCCTCTTTACTTAGGAGACAAAGAGGTCAGAACTTGGAAGCCAGTAAGTAAAGAAAACTCCCCAGAAAAATGCTGCCTGCTTGCGAATGTCTAGTCCCCTGGGACTGGGGGAGGCGGGGGTGGAGGGGGAGCAGAGGAAAAGTGACTCACTACTCTGAGAACAGCCTTTTCCAGACCTCTGTCCAGGCAGCTGTCTTCGGGCAGACCGGGGTCAGGGCACCCTGAGCTGGGGCACGCAAAGCACCTGAGTTCTCAGTGGGTCGGTGTGCTCCAGGGCCCTGGACGCACCCTGAAAACCTCACCGACAGCTCGGTGTGGGAGAGCTTTGGAAATCTTTTTTTCTGATCACAACGACCCACGAGCTTCAGCAAGCCTGCAAGCTGGAATCTTTTTTCTGTCGCTGCCTCCCTGCAGAGATAGAGAGCACACCCAGCAGAATTCGATTACACACAGCGCCAGTACCCTGATTCAGAACTACCTATGTCCTTGTCTCATGATTACCAACCATGCACTCAAATTTCTCTAAGCACTCAGTCTTCTGTTTTTAGAATCCAGTTCGTAAGAGCAGCTTAATAGACCGTCTTCTGTGGTTCTCACTGAGCAGTGGATTTTATCCAATAATATTTTAAGTTCCGATACATCTCAGGTCATGTTAGGGGCCAACGCCACCCCCCTGCGTGTTCCAGTGGAGTTCTCCCTTAACAGTGAAAGTAGTATCCAATGGTAGAAGAGTGGTTGTGGTGCGCGTGGCGCGTGGGCACGCCTGTAATCTACTCTGAGCGAGCGGGCGGATTGCTCAAGGTAGGTGTTCATACCGCCTGAGCAACGAGGAGACCTCTCTACTTAAAATAGAAAGAATTGATTGGCGCAACTGATATATATATGAAAAAATTAGCCGGGCAGTGGCGCATGTAGCCCGGCTACCCGGGAGGCTGAGGCAGAAGGATCAGCCCGACAGGGTTTGAGGGTTGCTGTGAGCGCTAGGACGCCACGGCACTCCTTAGGCCTGGTCAATGTTCTGTCTCAAAAAAAATAAAAAAAGAAAAAGTTGGAAGTTGGACATCTTACAAAACTATTGTTGGTCAAGCCACACTCCCATACTGTATCTGTGTCTTACAGGGGACATCGGAGTCCAAACACCAAAGTTTAAACTGTATTCTGGTGGAGGGTCTGGTAGCATGTTTGCTTTTTTTTTTTTTTTCTTTTAAGACAGGTGTTATGTAGAGTGAGTGCGTGGATCAGCCTAGCTGGCACAGCAGGCTGGGATCTGTTGTATCCTCTGGTCGAGCCTCCCACGTAGGCTGGGGCATGACGAGGCTGTGCCACGCCGCTTTCGTTTTTTTTTATTGCTTTTTATGTAGGATGGGTCTCACTATTGCTCGCTTGTGTTGTTTTGTTCTCGAGCTCGCCGCTTCGCCTGCCAGATGTGCTAGGTTACAGGCGGTGCAGCACACGCCTGCCCTGCTTGTTTTTTTTTTGTTTTTTCTGTTATGTTACTTTTAAAAAGTCTCTATGATGTTTATAAAAATCAATTCATACTAAAATGTTGGAGCTGTGAAGAAAGTGTTTGCAGTCATCATTCTTGCGCTCGTGATTGTGCGTTGTCTGCCAGGCACTGTTCAGATACAGCGAGCGACTGGTCTGTGCAGCGTCGTGGGTCTCCGGGGGACGCACAGGCATTGACACGGAACAGGAAACATCACCGTGAACGGGCACAGTGCGGAATGCACATGGGGTTCGTCTGAGGCATGATTTGTGGTGGATTTGGTGGCAGAAAGGGACTGGCCGCCTTGGGTGTCAGGACAGGTCTGCAAAGAACGCCAGTGCAACCAGGGCAGACGCGGTTGGTGGAGAGCAGGTAAACGGGGCTGCGCCAGCCAGTTGAGATTGCAAGGCTGCAGGGCCCAGACAGCGAGCAAGGGGGATCGATTTCGGCTATTAGCCGGATGTGTGGTTTATTTTATGTTTAAGCTCCATCTGGCTGAGCAGAAATTGACTGGGTGGAGGGTGCAGAGTGGACAGCCTTTTTGGAAAATTACTTATGCCCGGCAAGGGCTGCTGGTGCTCTGGCTCGGTCAGGTTTCTCAGCCTTTTGTGTAGGGAACTGGGGCCGGATCGTGTTTTGTTGTGGGGTTGTGTTCCTGTGCTATTATGAGGACATTCGTAGCATCCAGCCTGCTACGCACTAGATGACAGCAGCATAGTGCCAAATGTCTCCTGGGGGGCAAATCTCCCAGGTGGAGGGCACCCGGGCTGGGAAATATGCCACGGGCCAGAAAGTGGAGCAGACGCTCAGATGTGTTCGAGTAGCTGCCAGCCCGCTGGATAACGACTGATTCGGAGAGAACGTAATCCTGAATATTTGCTTTCATATATCTTAAAAATATTTTTACTCCTTTTACAGAACTCCCTCTCTTTTTTTCCATCCACTTTCCTCCCAGGCAGAATGGTGCAGCTGGAGGGGGTGAGGACAGGAGTCAAATGGTGTGATCGGAAGCTGGTGTCCCGGGAGCCTCCCGGGGTCCCCTGGTCCCTGTTTCCTGTGTGTCTGTCGAGTGGGGGACTGGCTCTCCCCAGAGTGAAAGACTGTTGCACGCTTCCCAAGAAAGGTCTACGTGCTCTGGCCAACTCGCATCATCGCTGTCAAGTCCTTGAAGGACCAGAGAAGTGACTGGAGCAGTGAGCGTTTCCCACTCTGGACAGGGGGGTTAAGTCACTTGGCCCTGGCCTCCGAATCTGGTGGCCATGTGTCGCAGCTGGGGTGGAATGTCCGGGGGCGAGGGTGAAAGGGTAAGAGTGATTCAGAGATGAGGCAATGCTTCGCCTGCAAGTTCATGTAGATGTCGCTGGCATCCTGAGACCATTCATTCTGCCTCAGAGCAGCGTAGGGCTCCCGAGGTGGGAATGAGCCCGAGATCAGGGGCTGGGAGAGAGGCCGGAAACCCAGGAGTACAGAGCAGTGTGCGCCCTGAGCAGTGGCGGGGACAAGTACTCACACTGTGTAAGTCCCCCCCCCCCAGGGACGGTGTACCGAGGTCCCCCTGTTTGAGGGGACAGAGAAGTCTAGGTCCCTCGTTTCAAATTCCTAGTGTTCTGCTTAGGAAAACTGTTCTGCGATAAAATGATAACAGGAGTAAAAGCGATATCCAAAAGGACATGCTGACCCCTGCTCTGGGAATACAGACTCGATGTTCAGCTCTGGAGACAGACAGTTCCTCACGACGAGAGAACCCGTCACTGTCCCTGAGCGAAGACGAAGAAGGTGAGGGGTCTGCAGAGGGCCGAGAAGGGAATCTCACAGAGGTCACGGGGTTGCCCAGTTCTCCAAGCCCAGGGCCTAGATTTCCCCCGGGACCAGGCGGCAGAAGAGCGGTGCTCCAGGTGGGGGTGGGTGCTAATTAAACGCTTCCTAGCAGGACAGGCAGGGTCTTGTTACAGCGAACCCCAAAGGACCGTCCGCATTCCTTTGTACAAAGGAATTTTGCTGTATCAAAGGTTGCCTGACATAAGAGTCCTATTGTGTAGGAAGGGGAGGTAGATAAATCAGAGCTCCGGTCCTGCAGGCGTTTGTTGGAGCGGCAGCGACTCTCACCGGATCTGATGCGTGGACAGGGCACGGCTGGCCTTGTCTATGGAAGGCCAAGGCAGTAAAACAGAACGTGCGCTGGACTGGAACCAGACCCCCGAGTCCAAGCTATCCCTGCTACCTCAAAACCCCGTGACCAGGGTCACACTGCAAAATTTGAGCTTGGAACTCTTTATAACATGGGTAGCAGAATGAACTGAACGTTTATCTTATGGTATAGTGACTGTAGAAAGAACTTGTAAAACAATACAGTGTCATGTAGACACAGGGCATCGTTATTGCAGTATCGCCTAATAATTATAACAAGTGTTTACTGTTGGACAAGACGACTCTCTCTGGCTATAAAATAGCATCTATACCATTTGACCTCTCCCTGCAATACCATGAGGATACAAAAATAGTTCCAATTTCTAAGAAACTGAAGGTTCTAAGAAACGTGCTCCTTTCTCTTTTTTTTCCCCACCTGCTAAGCCCTTCCCAGTCATTTTATCCACAATCCAAGAGAGACCTGCCTCTTGGCCCGGGCTCCCCGACCCCCTCAGCTGCCCGCAGGCTTGCTCACCGTCACCACCACGTAGAAGCACCAAATCACCGAGCTGAGATGAAACACGACCAGCTGTCCAGATTCATTGAACTTGCTGTGTTTGACCTTGGAGAGATGAAGCCGTTTGCTGATTTTCTAAAGAATAGAGAAAGCCCCTTATGTTAATGTATGACTATATCCATGCCGGGCAGATTTCAAGCTACTGTTTTGTCCCCACAAAAGGGCTGAACATCGTTGGAAGGTTGAAGCCAGCCATAATCTAGGTTTATTTAATGTACGCCGACTGTGTGCACATAGAAGTTAATTTAAGGCAAGCATTTTTAAAAAGCGGCAAGATGAATATCTTTAGCTTATGTGCAAAGAAAACAGCCCCCAATCATGCTGTGTGTGACAGACCCATAAGGACACTGTCTCGTCATATTTCCGACAGCTTTTTCCTCGTGCAAGGAGTCCTGCTGTCCCGTGTGCTGTTCAGAGAAGGCTGAGAGAGGGGGCAGAAACTAAAGCGTGGTGAGGGAAGTCCAGTCAACAGGACCAAACAGGAGATGTAAACTAGGGGACCAAACGGACTCAGGGCTGCAGTTTCCTCCAAGGTCCTCGGAGGACCTCCACCCAGGGCATCTGCCCAGCTTCGGGTTTCAGAATCAGGGCAGGTCACTTACGTCTAGTATGTACTCCTGAACCACAGCGTGCAAGATGATGGCAATGAAGATGTAGAACAAGATTGTCACCAGGTCCTTCGGGCCGTAGTGGTAGTGCACGGTCTCGCCATCTGAGGAGGCAATCAGAGTCCGTCAGCATCCCGGGGTGTGGGGAGCAGAAGATGCCAAGGCATGCCACACATCTGCTGTAGCGCTACACTTGGAAGGTTTTGGCCCCAGAATCCTCTGTCCAACCTCTGGTCCCCTTCCTCAGGAAGCATCGACTGGGAGGCTGGGGAGAAGCAAGCGCACCGCTGTACCATGATGACAGTGTGTCTCCCAAGTCGGGGCTAGGGGCCCTGACAGTGGTTAGGGGCCAGGGATCAGAGATAACCAGTCATCATCCCTGGCTCCATCACTCCCCGACTGGGCGACTACGGATAAGTGACTAACTTCTCTGGGCCTCAATCTCCTCCCCTGTAAAACGAGACTCTAGTTACACGTCACTGAGAAGGCACAGCTTAAGGGTTAAGAGTGTGGACCCAGGCCGGGCGCGGTGGCTCACGCCTGTGATCCTAGCACTCTGGGAGGCCGAGGCGGAGGACTGCTCAAGGTCAGGAGTTCGAGACCAGCCTGAGCAAGAAGCTTGAGATTCCCATCTCTGCTAAAAAAAAAAAATAGAAATAAATTAGCTGGACAACTAAAAATATATAGAAAAAAACTAGCCGGGCATGGTGGCGCATGCCTGTAGTTCCAGCTTCTCGGGAGGCTGAGGCAGGAGGATCTCTTGAGCCCAGGAGTTTGAGGTTGCTGTGAGCTAGGCTGATGCCACGGCACTCTAGCCCGGGCAACAGAGTAAGACTCTTGTCTCAAATAAATAAATAAATAAAAAAGTGTGGATGCAGAAGCTGGACTGCCTGAATTTGTATCACAGCTCTGTCCTTTACTTCCTATGTGACTTTAAGGCACCTCTACGTTGTGATCTCTCTGTGCCTCAGTCTCCTCATCTGAGTTCCTGTATCGTAGGGCTATTGTGAAAATTAGATGAATTAATAAACACAAAATGCTTAGAACAGGGTCTGGCACACAGTAAGTATTTGCTATTATTTTTGCTACAGGGATTTGCTATTATTTTTGTTGTTGGGTTATTGTGAGGAATAAATGAGATAATTTGCCTATCCCAGTGCCTATGACTTTACAGTAAAGCATGCAAGAAATGGTGGTGTACTGCAAGACTATTCAATATTATAGTCATAAATTAGACAGAATCCCAGATACAGAAATCTCATGACCCTCTACTGCTGTTGCCTCCTTCTCCACGGCCAGAGGGGAACCTGCACCCCGATCTGGTTGGCAGGCGGCAGGGCTGCAGGGGCCTGGCAGACGCCTGCCTGGGCCTGGGCTGCTCTGCAAACCACCCCTCCCCCAGGCACGCTGGCTGCCTTTCCAGCTGAGCTGCTCTCGCCCTGAGTCACACACGCGTGAGTCATCTCTCTGCCGGGATGCGTTTACCAGAAGGTAGGCCAGGGGTGGTTTGTTTCAGGGTGGCCAGGGAACACAGTGCATCTGACTGGGTCACTCTGGGAGTCACCCCTCACCTCGGCCCCCCTGGACCGGGAGACTGTGGAGCGTGGGGCAGTGGTGAGCGGGCAGGAGGAGGTGGCGAGGACAGAGAGAACATGAACTTTGAAACCAGACAGACTTTCCTTTTTCCTCTCCCTCCGCTTTTGCATAAAGACCTTACTCTGTGAGAGGCCCTGGGCTAGCTGTTGAAACAGGGAGATGAAAGACCTGCCCCTGGCTGCAAAGCATGCAGCACAGCAGGGAGACAGAACAAACAGTCAAGGATTACACCACAGTCAGGCTGGAGCCCCCAAGAGGTGAGCGCAGAGAGTGGGCAGGTGGAGCCTGACTCTGGCTGAGCAGGAGGTTTGGGGTGATGGGTCAGGCCTGCGTCAGAACTCGGGGAGAGGCCGGGCAGTCGGGGGCAACCCGGGCAGAGCGGGCAGCATTCAGCCAGGATGCAGGGAATGGGGCTGGGGTGCCGGGGTTGGCGGGGCAGGTAGTCATGGCAGGTGACGAGGCTGTTGCTGATGGCCTTGCGAACCATGTGGAAGGGTGTGGACTTTATCCTGAAGGCAATGTGGAAAACATCGAAGAACTCAAACTAAACAGGAAAATGATGAAATCTGTGTTTTGGAAAGTTTTCTCCGGCAACAGTGGACACACCTGGAGGTGAGGACACCAGTCAGGAAGCCAGCCCCGCGAGCCAGGTGAGGAGCCTCGGGGCCTGCACTGGGGCAGGAACTGATAACCCAGCCACAGACCCACCCGGACCCAAGGAAGGACTGAGATCTCGGAGGAGAAGACAGGAAGGTGAGGAGAAGGACGAGGGACCCAGCCTCCGACTCCTCTCTACCGCCTGTGAAGCTGGGATACTTTCTTTGCTTTCTTCATAAAGGAGGATCAAAGGAGACTAATTAGATGGTAGCATATTTTGAAGCTATAAAATAACTAAACACATGCAAAGTTTCATCATCAAGGCCATCATCATTAGGCAAAATGGGATTTGGACTCAACCAACCAAGCACGATCCAAGAATCAGTGAAATAACACCTGTCAAGACTTATTATCCATCTTAAAGCCCTTTGAAGGTCACTTGCCATTTTTTTTTTTTTTTTACCCCAGATACGATGGGGTCCCAAGAGAGGTGACCATAGCCTTAAGTCCTTCTTGACATAAGAATGAATGTGTGAGTAAATCCATTCTGTGTTCCTTCGCTGTTGAGTGCAGCAAGCACATGTGTTCATCAGCCAACAAACCATGTGCAGGGTTCTGTTCTGGGGCTGGGGAGATGGCCGTGAGCCATGTGGGCACAGCCCCGGCCTGCCTGGAGCTCAGCAGGTCCACATCAAATCCTCATCTACTTAAAACCAGTGGCCAAAGAATAACAGCTCAACAACAACAACAACAAAAACCAAGCAACCTAATTAAAAAATGGGCAAAGGTCTTGAATGGATCTTCCTCCAAAGAAGAAATCAAATGGCCAAAAAGGACATGGAAAGATGCTAATCATGAAGCAGATGCTAATCAAAACCACAATGACTTATCTCCTCACACCCATTAGGATGGCTACCATAAAGGAAAACAGAAAAACACGGAAAATAACAACTGTTACAGAGGATGTGGAGAAACTGCCTTTGTGCATTGCTGGTGGGAATGTACAATGGTACAGCCACTATATAAAACAGTACGCTGGTGCCTCAAAAACTTAAAAATGTAATTACCATATAACCCAGCCATTCTACCTCCTGGTATACACTCAAAAGAACTGAGAGCAGGATCTCAGGGAAATATCTGTACATCCACATTTGCAGCAGCACTATTCACAACAGCCAAAAGGTGGGAGGACCCCAGTGTACACAGACCGGTGAATAAACAAACCAAATGTGGTCTATACACACAATGCAATATTATTCAGCCTTAAAAGGAAGAAAACTCTGGCATCCTTGATGAGGACATTACACTAAGCGAAATGAGTCAGTCGCAAAAAGACAAATACTAAATGATTCCACTTACATGAGTTACCTAGAGCAGCCAAATGTATAGAGACGGAAAGTGGAAGGGTGGTGGCCAGGGGCTGGGGGTCGGGGGAAATGGAGAAATTGCCGTTTAATGGGTACTAAGTTTTCAGTTTCGCAGGATGGAAAAAGTACAGGAGGTTGGCTGTACGATAAGGCGAATGTACTTATTAACACTACTGAACTATATACGCTTCCAGCGGTTGAGACGGTACATCTTACGGGTATTTTATCACAATTTTAAAAGCAACAACAAATAACCCAGCACCCGGATGTGACAATGCTCTGAAGTGGACCGAAGACTGGTGGAAGAACCGGGAGGTTGGGATCCTACAGAGGCAGGAGGTCAGGAAGGGCCTTACGGTGACGGCAGGACGTGTGGAATATGTCCTAAAGGCAGTGAAAGCTCCGGGAGGAACTTGGTCACATAGTTATAAAGATCTGTCTTCCTGCCACATGGAGAAGGGGTTAGAGGAGCAAGGGTGGAAGCCTGGGGAGAGCAGTTAGGCGGCGCCGTGGGTGTTCCGGGAGAGGGGGCATGGCGGGTGTCCTGCCCCAGGACGGCGGCAGAGCGAAGGAGGGAAGACAAATGCACCGCGTGGATTTGGGCGAGGGGATCAGAAGACCCAGGACCTGGGGGCATGATTCTCAAGTTCCTTCTGTAATCTAATCTGGTATTCTGTAGCCCTCCTTCAGAGTTTCGGCATTCTTCAACGTGCATTATCTTGTTTGATCCCTGTAAACATCTCATGAGATAAACATCCAAGCAAAGTGGATGAGGAAACAGCATTCAGAGAGCTAAGCGACAGGGTCCATTGCTGGGGTTTCCTAGTTTCTGGGGCCCCAGCCCGGCCACCAAATGCCACCTCGAGGTCAACAGCACTCCTCATCCCACCCCGTCAGCTTTATGACTGGTACTATGCCACCCTTTGGATCTCTCTCTCCTATAATTGTAACGAACATCATCGTACACAAATACTCAAAAGCTGTACCCCAATTTACACAAATTCTCTCTATTGCTTCCCCCTCCTCATCTGCTATCTTCCTACTTTGGATCACAGCAGGGAAGTAAACTGGGGTGGTCCTTTCTGTTTTCCATAGAGCTATGCACGTTTGTGTTCTTCTAGGCACCTATAAACAAAAATCACTGATGCTTTCGATTTTTTTTTTTCTTTTTAAACTGTTGGCTCACCAATTCTTATCAAAACCCTCTCAATGCCCAAGTGAGAGCTCCTACTCCTTAGGGATCACTCCTGTCTTGCATGGACCTTCAAAAAGAACAGCAACAGTTTGGTAATAACCTATCACAATTGTTTAGAAGTATTAAGTTCAGCACGTCTCTAGGCTGTTAGACCAGAGAGGTGACTCAGACTGCGAGTCACAGCAAAATGCCTTCAGGGACCAGGTGGGTAACACACGTGAGCCCAGGGGTCCAGGTGCTTTAAGATACATTCTTCTTTCAAGGCAGAATTTTCTTCTTCTTTTTTTTTTTTTTGAGACAGAGTCTCGCTTTGTTGCCCAGACTAGAGGTGCCGTGGTGTCAGCCTAGC